TTCCTGGTTCATACAGAAGCCTGTGATCTGTGAGTTCCCCCTAAATAAAGAACCCCTCTATTATACTCAACTCCGAGCTAGTGTGGAATTTCACCTTCTTGCCTCCATGAGATATAGCTGTAAGGCACTTTTCTCATCTAGTGATATATGGGTGAGGCCCCAGCTCATAGAGGGTGGTGCCATCCCTGGGAATGTTGCTCCTGGGTTCTATACTAAAGAAGGCTAAACCAGTCATGGAAAACAAGCCAGGAAACAGCAACCCTTTATGGCCTCTGCATCAGCTCCTACCTCCAGAATCCTGCCCTGTTTGAGTTCCTGTCCTGACTTCCTTCAGCAATGTGGAAGTATAATTCAAATAAACCCTTTCCTTCCCAACTTGTTTTTTGGTCATGGTGTTTTGTTGGAGTAACAGAAATCCTAACTGAAGCAAACCTGGTTATGGAGTGTTTACTATTTATTAGGTTTCGGGTTCACTTAAATTTTTGAATCTGTAGGTTTATAACTTTTATAAAATTTATAAAAACTTTCAACCAACCATTATTTTTTTATATAATACTTTCTATATTCAGCAGCTCAGTCTCCACCATGTCCCTGCCCATTTTGGGTGTTCTAACTACATCAATATTGGGACATATGGTGTTATTACACGATACTGAGACTTCATCTACTTTTTCAACAGTGTTCTCATCTCTCTTTCATTTTGGATAGCTTCTGTTTCTGGGTCTTCAAATGGAGTAATCCATTTTCATGTAATGTCTGGTATACCATCAATTCAATTCAATGTGTTTTGCAATATAGACATTGAATTTTTTTTTCAGATGTTTCTAAATTGAAGTTAGCACATCCAGTATTCTGGCTTCTTGCACATACGGGTTTCAATAATGATAACTGTTGTAAATGTTCTATCTGCTAATTTTATCATCTGTATTTTTTTATTCATTTTGAATCAACTTTTTCTTAATGGAGTATGTCTTTCTGCCTACTGATTTTTATTGGCTATCAGTAATTGTGAATTTTACATTTTGGGTTATTGAATTTTTTGGTTATATTAGTGTTCTTAAGATTTTTTTCTGTGTTGCTATTATTGAAAATACTATGGTCTTTTTAGGTGTTATGCATGGCATCTGTTAGGAGGAATTAATTTTTATATTATTATTGTTGTTGTTATTGTTTTGAGACACGGTCTCAACTAGGTAGCTCTGACTGTCCTTAAACTCACTATACAGTCCAGGCTATCTTCAAACTCTCAGAAAATCATGCTTCCTGAAGATGCTTCTGCTTCCTAAAGGCTGGGATTAAAGACGTACTGTTCCAAACCTAGCTAGAGATTCTAGGGATTAATATCTTCTTTCTTTATTCCCTTGTTTAAATAAATTCAGAATTTCATTTCAAACATCCCTAGTGCTGGCGCTAAAGTTTATCCACAAATAAAGATTTTTGTGGTAGGGTCACATACGGACCCCAAATCAACCATTGCATCTGTAGATGCCAAGCACTAGGAGAAATGACCAAATTAAAACTATAATTTATAAAAACCACTTTCAAACACTCTTGGGTTCACTCAGTTTAAGGATGGGGATGTAAATCTCTGGAATTCACATTTACTTAGAACGGCCAAGGCCTTGGGTTCTTTCAATTTCTAGTGCAGCAAAAACAATTACTAAAAAAAGAAGGCTACTAATTCCTTCTAATTGAAAGAGGAAGGGAACAGGTTGCTTATGAACCTGCACTGGGAAGCAGAGTGGTATTCTAGTTCCATTTTCTGAGCTCTTGAATGTTTTAGATTTCAGATAAGTTGCTTTACCTTTCCATAGTTTACTTTCCTTTTCTGTAAAACGGATTGATTGTAATCCCAAATTTAAGGGAGTTATAGACTAAAGGTTCCTGGAAGCATGCCAAAGCAAGTGCTGAGCAGTCATAAGAGCCAAAAAGCAGGAGTTTGGGGACTTCAAAGGGCCCAGATGAGTTTGTCAAAAAGATAAGACAATTCCTGTTTCGAGGGATCCTGTAGCTCCATTATTGAGAAAAGCTGGGGGGCATAGATAAGGAAAACCAAAATACCATAGATATCTTACATTATAAACAGTAAGGCTTGTCATAATAAAGAAAGTTATTATTTCCTAAGCAAATGAGACAAAACCTCAAAGTTGAAAGGGTGTTGGCCCTCAACCTACTGCAGAACATGTAAAGTTCACTCTTTCATGTAGTTGGATTTCTCATGATTAACTTGCACCTGACCTAACTGTGAAGACACTGAGCAGCAGAATATGTTGTGATTCCCTGTGGATTTGAGCATTGGAAGACACCTGAAGGGAGGATGCTAAGAGGTAGAAATTACCTCCCCTTCCCCCAACACACACACACCTCCAGTCCTCACCTCCTCCCCTCTGGTTATCCAGGGCTGCTGATGGTGGGTAGATATTCTATACCAAAGCATGCTTCCACATTTCAGCAGAGCCCCCAAGGCTAGTTCTGTTTCTGCTGATAGAAAGAAGTGTGTCTTTCTAACCACTTCCCTATGAGCTACTACTGCCCTAAGTCAAATCTGTCTTCCCGCTAGAGGAAGTCTTATTGGGGGTGTGGTTTAATAGTATCGATGATGATGGTGATAGCAATAATAATAACTGAAACAATAATAACAGCAATAGCAACACCACTCTCTTCTTTCCCAGTTTCTAAAGGTATCTGATGGAAAGCAAGTTTGAAAATCCCTAAAGTGATACCAAAGGCAACCACCTGGATCAGGAAATGTGACCAATGGGTAGCCAGAGGAAGTGAGCATCTCAGCTTGAGGTGTAGCCTGCCTTGTTGGGCTGCCCACCTTCTGTTCCGCTTCTCCTCTGCACTGCAGTTTCGTTACAAGTGGCAATATCACCCGCCTCTGAGCGCTTACGACCTGTCAAGTCCATTTGTGGTATTATTCTTCCTTATTTTAAAAATAAAGAAAATGGAAGTTCTGAGAATTCAGTGAACAAGAGCCAGTATTTAAATTCAGCATGGTCTCTAAAGGAGCTGGCATCCTTTCCCAATGTAGTAGACACATGACAAGTCATAACTGATATCATTTATTATTCCAAGATGATATCAATCATAATTAAAGGCAGATCTAAGATCAAGTCTCCTTCCATGTTCCATTACATTTCATGTCACTATAAAGTTAGAGAAACACACATGCTACTTATGTGACTTGCTCAAGTTTTTAACTCTATATGGAATTTAGATTCCATCTACACATGTTGCCTTCTCGATATGATAATTACCAGAAGGAACACCAGCCTAAGAATTTCTTAGGACCACATAGTTGTTAAAATTGCTGTGTGATCCTCTCGTTCCAATACTTCGCCCACATTTTTAATCTTAACGATAGATAACCATCTATCTGAAAGGAGGCGCTTTGTGAAACAAGCTCAGCTTAAATCGGCACTCTTATGCCTGTCATCCAGCCGCCATCAGTGTGCAGCATTGTGATTTCTGGCGGGACACTTTGTCCCTCTAGGTCTGGAGTTCTTTGTAATTGTTTGGCATGTAGCTGTTTTGATTTGCGGAGCCTTTCTTCTCTCAGGGTCTTAGCATTCGCAGGCATGGACGGTGATGTAAGGGACTGTTCCTGCTCCGAATTAAATTCACCCACCTATGTGGTTGGCTACTCAGAGCTGTACTATTTCACACATGGTCAGTTGTACCAACTTATGGCAATGTTCCTTACTACTTCATTAAAATCGTTACTGATATGTTTTCTCACTATTTAGTCTACTTTCATTTAGAGGAATTCTATGGAAGTTCTAGAACCTTGGCAAACAAAGCAGGGCCCTCTATGGACCTTCCATTGTCTGTAGATGGCGTTTAAAGGAAGAATTTGAGGATACTTCTGCAGTAATAAATTTAGGACTTCAGGCTCTGAATTTATATTATGTGTAAAATATACTGAGTCATTAATTGTCATTGATGTAGCTCTCAACAGTATTATGATTGCAGTAGTCTGACAACCCAGCTCAGCAGAATGGAGAGAGTGGAGCAGTCATTTGCCAGAGTTGAAAGATTTGATTTGAGAAAGCTGCTTTCTCAGCTGAATCGTATTCTTACTCCCAAGAGCAGAGGGGCTTATTTTATTTAACAATGCTTAGTACTTCCTGGTTTATGGGAGAGGCCAAATATATGTTTTAAACATCAGGACCATGGGTCAAATTTGTCTTGAAGTTACAATGGGCTGAAAAAATAATGTTTTGTCTCAGTCAGTGGTGACCTTCCAGTATAAGCATTTTTTAGTTGAGTATAGGATCCACGGGCCCTATATTTAGCTGATTGGCCACATTTATTCAAGTTATCTACCTGCTCCCAGAAGGCACGTAAGGAGTCTTGCATGTTGTACTGAACACTTTACATCCATTTTATCCTCAGAGTAGATGTTAGCATCTGCTAGCAAACGAACAATGGGAGGTCAAAGAAAACCAGTTCCAATGCAACCTAACTGCACAGACTACCTGAGCTCCAAACCCAAGCTTTAATAGATCCCTGTTGTCCAGCATTTTCAGCGCCCCTGCATTCCTTAACCAGATTAATCCTTTCACCTAGCCAGACAGGATGAAGCTTGTTTATCTCCCGGACTCCACAAATGGATTCTCTTCTGGATCCACCGTTTTTTAAAGCCTTTGGCAAACTCAGTAGTATTTAATGAAGGAACTCTTTTCTTCAGCTAAGAGAACACGGGGTTGGACACCCATAAGATCTATATTCTCATAGTTGAAAAACTGAGTGTAAGGTTCAGAGTCTGAAACTCAGGCATAACAAGCTTCAAAGAAACCCCTCAGCAGCCATTTGATCCTGTCAATGCCTGCCCACATCACAGTTCCTCCCGAATAAACCAACTCCTAGGTCTTAAACCGTGTCTCCTCTCAGAGCCGGCCCTCTGCCCTCAAGCAGGCCTGGCTGGAGCCTTCCGGTGGTTCTCAGAACTCGGTCACGGTCTCCGTCTCCTGGCAACCGCGGACGCGGGGAGCCTCGCGGGCCTAGTGGCGCGAGCGCTCTCGGTGGGCCCTGCTGGAGGCTGCCAGGGTGAGCCTCCGGCATGGCCTCCAAACAAACTAAAAGAAAAGAAGTGCATCGGATCAATTCTGCGCACGGATCTGACAAATCTAAAGAGTAAGGGACTTCTTCCACCGGGTCGGTGCCTTCCCTACCCCTGGACCACTCCCACCCAGGGCTGGGACTGGCTCCAGAGCAAACTACCACATAAGGAATTGATCTGCTTGCCCCGTGTCTGTCTTCCAAGGGACCAGTCTAGGAGAAGCCTGTTCCCTCTTCCTCCTTACTCTAGAGCCATTTCCTTTCCAGAGAGGCTGCTTTCCCGCGGGAAATGTTTCCGTCTGTGACTCTCCCAGCGGCGCCCCCTATCCTGAGTGTCACAGGCCTCTCAGAAGCTCTGAAAGAGAAAGGTTTATCTAGAAAGACTCCAGTTAAAGACCCGCCCACTTTCGCCAGTTCACCTGAGAAGAGGCCTGGGGAGTGGGGAGTGGGGGGGCGGGGGGAGGGGGAGGGAGGAAAGAAAGGGAAGAGAGGGAGGAGGAGAGGAAGTGAGAGTTTTATTTTTGCAGTAGCCCAACTTTCCAGACTTTTAATCAGATCATATTAAATATGCAGTGACTTCAGAAAACTGAAAGAATAAAGTCTACCGCACGAGCATGAAGTGATGTTCCTAAGGCCTACTGGGGAGGTGGTATGTAGGCTGCTGGTTCGTGGGATCTTTTTGTTCTGTGCTGCCTTAACCTCCCTATTCATAGTATTTTCCTTTGGTGTTTCCTTCCCTTTGGATATAACCAGATATTCTGTAGTTTATTATATTATATTATATTATAT